AATAATCCTAATAACAATAATAATTATAATTATAATACTAATGATTTAAAACAGCAGCAACAACAAGACCAACAACAACAATGGACGTAGACGTGAACGTTACTTAAGCTCATAAAAGTGCTATGAATATAAATAGACTAACTACCAAGACAACATTGCAACTTCACGTTTTAAATTCACCATGGAGACCAGGCCTTGTCAACTATTTCATTTCCGGCGCCCACGGTAGCCAATTTAATAAAGGTTAAAAGTTTCGTATTGACCACCTATAATATGTGTCACGGCGCGGTGGAGTCAGACGCTAGTCAATTGTATTTATTTATTTATTTATGTATTTATTTATTTATTTATTTATTTATTTATATACTTATTTATTTAATTTAGCATATTATGGAGTTATTGGTGTCAATTGGCTTATTTCTGTGCAAAAAAAACACACATCTATCTTGAATAGAGCTCGAGATATTTGCATTTGAAGTCTACTTGCCTGGTTTCAATGGCAGAAATAGCAAGAAAATGGCCTCCAGAATTTGGAGATTCCATAACTAGAGAATAAGTGGAAACAAAAAGTTCAAATTTTCGTACCATCTATCAATGTTTTTAGTGAAAATACAATTAAAATCTGCTAAAATTAACAATTTGGGGGGAGGGGGGGGGAGAGTACCTATTGCTGAGATTTTGTCGTTCTGACGAGCACCTTATGTTACCACGATTCTTCACGTAATTTGTATTTCCAAATGGGACATTACTTAATTCCTGTCAGTTGCCGGGTGATCCGCACCGCCCACCAAAATTACCCGATCGCCCACTTGTGGGCGGTATCGCCCTGTTGGCAATAACTGAATCTTCGGAGAATATGGCTGCTGTGTGAAGTAAAGACAATGTTTGTTTTAGTAGAGGTTTTACGGCGCTCGCAACTGCATAAGGTCATATGAGCGCCAGAAGATAAGAGGTGTTACAAGAGAGTAACAAACCTAAAAAAGAAGAAGGGGAGATAAAGAAG